GTGTCCTCTGCCAGTGGTCCTTATCGTCATCACCATGCTCCCCACCTGCCCATTGCTTCCATCGTAGTATGAATGGGCCATCAGTAGTGACCCGTTACACTCTCACCAGTAGTTAAAATGTTGATTATTGCTATTGCTACTGTGAAGCACAACCCAACAACCAGCACTCCTGCCTCGCCTTCTCATCCAAAGCTGGGAAGGCCAGTGTCCACGTTCACTGGGTTGCACAGATCCCTCAAGCAAACATCTGAGCAGCTACTGTTTACATCCCAACCACATGCCTACCTCGTCCACTTTTACCCTCCCCGTTCTAGCTCCAGCATCATCCAAAGAGAAAAGATAAACTTACATTTTAAATTAACCCTCACAAAATAAAAAGAAATATTTTTCTTTTATTTATATTATTTAATATGTGAAATATGCAAAAGTCATACAAGGCAACCCCGAATGGTATGCCCAGCAAAGCCAAAAAGAAGTTCTAAGAGAAGCCAGGTATCCTGGCTGCCCTGCCACTGTCTTTATCCACCAGCGTGAATCTTTCTTTCAGATCATCTTCTCAAATTATCCATAGGAGATTTATCCACATACTCAATAAGAAAAATATTTCTAATTATATCCAACCATTCTTAATATGAATGAGAATTATGCGGAGACTCTAGATTGCCAAGAGGTATTTTGCCAAACAATTCCTTTTGACTTAAGAAAGAAGAGGCAGCTGCATTGTTTCCATAGCTATCCATATAAAAGAGCCCTTGGAATGAGGCTGACTCGTCCTGCTTTAAAAAGCTCCAAGGTAAGTGGGAACAGGACGGGTCTTTCAAGAGGGACACTGGCCACACCGCCCAGTGTCGGCAGCAGCTGCTAGTTCTGGTACTGCTCCTTCTGAAACTGCACATTTTAAATCCATGAATTTTGTTGCCTTCTGCTTACAGTAGGAAGAAATGCTGTAAATGGGATTTCCCCCTCTTTTTGGTTAACTAATCTAGTGCTTTTCCCTTTTCTTTTACAGAACTGCCTCACTTCCAGGCTACATCTTCTCACTTGCTAACAAGGTAAGATTTGGACTAACCAGTCCCTGGAGGAGAATGCAAGAGCCTCTGGGATGGATTTATGTCACTTAGCAACCTTTGAGAAAGTGCTTGTCTCAGTAAATACCTCTGACAATTGTACGTTAGGAAAGGGGCTAGAGAGGGAGAGAGGGAGGACTTTCCTTTTAAGACAATGCACACATCCTCCTTTATGGCTCAAACATTGGTGGGGAGACAGTTGAGCAAGAGAATCCCTTTTAATAGAATATTTTGCCTCTGAGCAAAAACAATCTGCACTCAGATTCCCCTGCTAAAACCTCAAATTTGATAAAAATGTATCCTATTTGGTAAACACGATATCCAACAAATAAGAAAGTACCTAGGACAATGTTTCCTTTAAACTTCTTAGGAAGCCCTTGTAAAAAGGCACCTTACACAGCCGAGTGCTGTATGAAAACAAAACACTGTGGGATTTTTGTTACATACAGCAGAGGTATTAATCTGCCTTACTACTGCACACTGCACTGCTAAAGAGGGAGACTGGGATAGCTGATTAAAATGAGTTTCAAGTAATTTGATCATGTAATGACGGCAGTAGCATTCTTTGCCAAACCTTTCATTCTACTGGTACCACTGGCAACCTGCAGGTAACACAGAATGGAGAAAACACAGGCTGCAATCTTCAGAAAGAAATTTGGAATAGCAAAGGGAGCCCTTCAACGTAGAAGAATGAGGATAGTGCTGGCTATGATTTTTATCCTTAATTAGTTTAACTAGGTTAAACTGATTTGGATTTGATGTGCATAGAAATTATGTTAAAGAAACTCTACTAAGCACCCAACTAAAAGAAAAAAAGGTAAACAAAATAATAATCCCTGATAAACCACTAAACTTGAGCCAATCTGGACATCTAGAGGAAATAAAGTTCTCTTATGTTACATGGCAAGACATGGAATTTTGTGACATTATAATAAATGACATTTTATATATAAATGATAGCCTGAACTATTTCAAATTACTTTCTCAGTCATTATTTAAACTTTTTTTCCAAAGTATCTTCACCATATCTCATGAGTTGTGAATGAAGAGAGGCAGAAATTATAATCCCTATTCTAAAGATGGAGATGCTTAGGCTCAAAAAGATCAAGTGACTTACGCAGCATCACAAGCTACTTGGCAGCGGCGCTGAGACTATAACCCAGTTTCCTGATTAGAATGCAAGTCTTGGAGGATGAAAGAAGATAATGGATGTAAAGCCCTGAATACAGTGCTGTGTACACAGTGACCACCTGATGCCTTTTAGTTCTTGTGATGATGTTTGTTTCGGTAGCTCTAATGTGGTATATAGTAGACCTACCTAGTGGAATTTCCAACTGGGCCCAGACTCTCTAGTGTGAAATGTTTTATCTCTTTTAGGACCTCTGAGTTCAGCAGCCATGAGTGCAGACTCAGAGATGGCTGTTTTTGGGGAGGCTGCTCCCTACCTCCGAAAGTCTGAAAAGGAGCGCATTGAGGCCCAGAATAGGCCCTTTGACGCCAAGACATCGGTCTTTGTGGTGGAGCCCAAGGAATCCTTTGTCAAAGGAACTATCCAGAGCAGAGAAGGAGGGAAAGTGACAGTGAAAACTGAAGGGGGAGCGGTGAGTAGAGTCCCAGGAGCCTGCCATATTTTATTGATTTCTTTCTTCTTTTCTTCTTTTTTGGTTTGGTCATTCAGCCAATGTAAATGGCTATCTTTACTTTTTACCAGACTCTGACAGTGAAGGATGATCAGGTGTTTCCCATGAACCCCCCCAAATTTGACAAGATCGAGGACATGGCCATGATGACTCACCTGCATGAGCCTGCTGTGCTGTACAACCTCAAAGAGCGCTACGCAGCCTGGATGATCTACGTGAGTGTCCTCTGCCAGTGGTCCTTATCGTCATCACCATGCTCCCCAACTGCCCATTGCTTCCATCGTAGTATGAATGGGCCATCAGTAGTGACCTGTTACACTCTCACCAGTAGTTAAAATGTTGATTATTGCTATTGCTACTGTGAAGCACAACCCAACAACCAGCACTCCTGCCTCGCCTTCTCATCCAAAGCTGGGAAGGCCAGTGTCCACGTTCACTGGGTTGCACAGATCCCTCAAGCAAACATCTGAGCAGCTACTGTTTACATCCCAACCACATGCCTACCTTGTCCACTTTTACCCTCCCCGTTCTAGCTCCAGCATCATCCAAAGAGAAAAGATAAACTTACATTTTAACCCTTAAAAATGATCGTTTTAAAGATCAAATTTTACTCATTTTCACTCTCCCCAAATAACAGCAATTTGTATCTGTGTGTTCTAGCCCCTTCTGTTAGGAATCCCACCTCCTTGGTGAAACCTTTCCAACTTCCCCAGGCAGAGCTGCATGTTCTGCCCTATTGTTTCTGTCCCATGTTTTTTCCTGATCATTCATTTACATGACTGTCTCCCACATAGATTGGGAGTTCCTTGATGGACATGACCTCATTTATGTTTCATTTCTACTGCCTTGGAGAGGCCTAACACATAATACACATTTGGTAAATATTTTTGAATTGAATTTATTAGGCTGCATTCCTATTTTTGCCCCGTTTAGCCAGTTCTGATATTTAGTTGATATTTACAGGTATACCTCATGTTTATGGTATCAGCATCCATTCTAATTGGTTGGTGCCTGTCCTGAACCAGTTCTCAAAAGATTTCTAAAATACCTTTGTTGTAATCATAATGTATTTACAATAGTTTATGTTCTGTTTCCTTTTAAATTAAAAATAGTTTGTAAATATTACACCAGTGTTGCTGCACATTTCCACGTTCACTTTTAAAAATGCCTGCATCGTATTGTCTTAAGATCTCCTATAGTTCACCTATCATTCCCTTATTCTTGGACACTTAGCTTATGTCCAAATTTATGTTCTCATAAATTTGAATTATTTTAATGCTTCAAAGGAAATATATGCCTGTTTCCTTAAAATAATAACAATGTTTCATGATACATATTATAAAAACCAAACATGCTTTCGAAGCTTCTGCTATGTGAAAATGACCGTGACAAGCCTCTAGGAGAACAATAAAAATTCTGAATTGCAGTCCCTCCACTCAAGGATTTTGCTAACACAATATTGAATTTGCCAATTAGTTTTCATGCTGATACCTTGAAGAAATATAGAGTACTCACTTAAAGTGCTCCTTTTTGTGAAAATGCAATTAATAAGTGAATTGCACAAATAACAGGAAAGGCCTTTGGGTAGTTATTCTTTCTTCTTCCCTTGCATAGACCTACTCCGGCCTCTTCTGTGTCACTGTCAACCCCTACAAGTGGCTGCCAGTGTACAACCCGGAGGTGGTGACAGCCTATCGAGGCAAAAAGCGCCAGGAGGCCCCGCCCCACATCTTCTCCATCTCTGACAACGCCTATCAGTTCATGCTGACTGGTGAGTGAGATGAATGTTTTATATGTGCATAATCTTTTTTTTTTTTTTTTTTGAGACAGAGTCTCGCTTTGTTGCCCGGGCTAGAGTGAGTGCCGTGGCGTCAGCCTAGCTTACAGCAACCTCAAACTCCTGGGCTCAAGCAATCCTTCTGCCTCAGCCTCCCGAGTAGCTGGGACTACAGGCATGCGCCACCATGCCCAGCTAATTTTTTCTATATATATATTTTTAGTTGTCCAGATCATTTCTTTCTATTTTTTTAGTAGAGATGGGGTCTCGCTCTTGCTCAGGCTGGTCTCGAACTCCTGACCTTGAGCGATCCACCCCACTCGGCCTCCCAGAGTGCTAGGATTACAGGCGTGAGCCACCGCACCCGGCCTGCATAATCTTTTAAGAGCTGACCCATAGGACAAAGAGACTAGCCAATCGCAACACACTCTTTGAGATGATCCCCTTTAGTTGAGGCTGATATTTGTGAGGGAGAAGTTTCAGGAAGGAGAGAATGTGAAAGATGATTTGCAATCCCTAGTACGATATAACTGCTAATAATCTCTTAAACTTTTCAAAGAGCCAAGAAACAGAGGAATAAAAATTGTCTCTTGTGGTTTTTTCCTCAGTATCAAATTATGACCAATGAATAGTCTCTCTATGTTAAGGATGGCACAAATGCTATTGCCCTTTGCCCAGAACCAACCTGAACAGGCTCCAGATTTTAAGATACATCTGTTATTAAGATGGTTATGCCATGCATCTGTTTCCTATAATATTGTCTCAGCTAGACCAATCTAAAGTACTTGTGGCACCTTGAGAAAGGGCTTAGAGAATTCCTCTTCAGAGATAGTAAAACATCGAAACAAACTTTTACTTTTCCCTAAAATTATGACCAAAGCCATGAGTACTGCCAAAGCTACCACCTTTATACTATACTTACTCCTCACACACTAAAAATATCTCTAATGCCCATTCTTCATTACTGCTTGCATCCACAATAAACAATATCCCTACCTTAAATTATCATCTAAACCCAACTAAAGAGCCAAGTCCATGTTTGATACACATTTAGTGGTAGAGTATTAAAAAGAAAATGTCTGGTGCTTCAGGAAAATACAGCCAATGTGATGATCACTTACACTGGAGCTTTCAACATTTTCTTTCCCCATAAAATTTTTCCTCAAAGGAAATATTTCTTGAAAGACTTGAGTATACAAAGCGGGAGTGTTCTGTTTGCACGGTTGTACGTACGTGTGGTAAAATTGGGGAGGATGAAAGGCCCAGCAAGCCCTAAGGATTGCAAAGCCCAGACCAAAACATACCAAGTTCATTACAATTTACCTTACTTACCATTTACAAATATATAAGAAAAGTATTAAATGTCTATAATTTCTCTTTTGTAGACCGGGAGAATCAGTCGATCCTGATCACGTAAGTAGACTTTGTGCTTTCTTTTATGGCTACGATAGCTGCTAGCTTTGGGACCTCATCTAATTTAGTTTTGACTTGGCAGCGGAGAATCCGGAGCAGGGAAGACTGTGAACACCAAGCGTGTCATCCAGTACTTTGCAACAATTGCAGTCACTGGGGACAAGAAGAAGGAGGAAGCTACTTCTGGCAAAATGCAGGTGAGTGAGATTGCCATGGTCAGGATCCAGGCTCTGCTGGGGCTCTCGGGTAAGAAATTCCCGAGCCCCAGATGCGAGGATTGCTCTTGCCTTTGCAGGGGACTCTGGAAGATCAGATCATCAGCGCCAACCCCCTACTGGAGGCCTTTGGCAATGCCAAGACTGTGAGGAATGACAACTCCTCTCGCTTCGTAAGTCTCTTAGACATTATTCACGGTCAAAATTTATGGGATGTTGGTAAATACATTCTCTGAATCTTTTTCACTCATATTACATTACATCATGGTTCTTTCCTTTTTCTCTGAGCACATGATAACATGGATCAAAGCCTTGGCTTAAAGGATATATAACCCTTTCCCCGAATTCTTTTTTATCTGTCTTTATCTAGAATTATTCAAAACTTTTAAATTTTATTTATTTTTATTTGACAAATAATTGTATATATTTATGGGGTACAATGTGCTGTTTTGATATATGCATACATTATGGAATGATTATATTAAGCTAATCAACATGTCCCTTACTTCACATACTTATGATAGTCACAATTTTAAAATCAAAGAAAATTCTTTTACTTAAAAAGTAGGAGATACAGCTTCTCCCACTGACATAAATAGTCTCTTAATTGATTTAATATTAAAGCATTAGCATCTCAAGTGTTTTGAGTTTCCCAAAGATTTGATATATGTAAAAATAAGATAGTAATATTAGTTTTCTTTTCAAGGGTAAATTCATCAGAATCCACTTCGGCACTACAGGAAAACTGGCTTCTGCTGATATTGAAACATGTAAGTGCTTAGATATCCTTTAAAACCATTTCTGCTTTTTACGATCCATAAAACTGACCAAAAATCAAATTTGCATGTCACATGAATTTTTACACTTTTCCTTCCAGATCTGTTAGAGAAGTCTAGAGTTACTTTCCAGCTTAAGGCTGAAAGAAGCTATCATATTTTTTATCAGATCACATCAAACAAGAAACCAGAACTAATTGGTAAGAAACATTATCATTATTTTGCAGAATTACTGCACCAACACCTATCAATGCATGGTCCAACATAGTATTCTATAACTAAACATTATCACGTTTATATGCCATTTTATTTTTAAAAATTGCTTTGTAAGTTTGGTAAAAATTTATATGTGAAAAATTCAAAAGGAAGCAAAAGGAAAACTGAAAATAACACCTCCAATTCCTATCACTATGAAATAACAACTATGAACACTTGGAAGAATATCATTCTAGTCATTTCTATACACATATCTTTACATATAGATACATACATACAACTTACACAACCAAAATCATAGTTACATGCTCTTCTGTTATCTGCTTTTTCACTGAGCAGTAATATATCATAGCTTTTTCCAAGTCACTAAATATAGCTCCATATTATTATTTCTAGTGGCTGTATTGTGTTCTGTTCTGGAGATAAGCATAATTTACTTATCTCTGGTAACCATACCCCCTTTAAGGATATTTTGATTGTTTCCAATTCTGGATTTTATATTGTCAACACTATAATGATTATCCTTATAGATACAACTTTTCCCATTAAGTGATTATCTTCTTTGGAGTATAGTAGTTTTTTAAAAATAGGAAATGATAAGAAACACCATGACACCAACTTCAAGGTGTCTGAGGTGGTGCCAGATGTCCTTTAGATGGCCCTTCAGTGCCCATCAATCACCTTTCAACCAAACATCATATAGTGCCTTAAAATTTGTCTAGAAATCTCTTGTTTCAATGAAGAGAATAATTATGCTTATTTTTGCTCTGGTCCATGTACTTAGAAATGCTTCTGATTACCACGAACCCATATGATTACCCATTTGTCAGTCAAGGGGAAATCAGTGTGCCCAGCATTGATGATCAGGAAGAACTGATGGCCACAGATGTAAGTAGAACACAAGAAAATGGAAATTATTATGGTGGTCAGAGCAATGGTCATCCAGATAAACATTCAGTCTCTAGTAGAAATAGCAAAAGAAGACGCAAGGATGAGCATGGATGTGTCCCTTAGAGTCAAATGAAGAGTAGGACGTGCCCCTACAACATTTTACTTATCCTTAACAGCCTTCTAAAGATTTATCATTTCTGAATGTACCTAAACTAATGTTTTGGTAATCCATTTGCATTAGATCCATACCATCTCTCAAAATGACAAGTTCCTTAAGTTTGTTATCTTTATTCTCTATTCTAAGTTTACTTTTTGAATCTTCAGAGGGTATGCACCTTTAATTCTAATGCTCTGTGATGGCCTTTGGTTGATCAAGTCTCTCTACACCCAATCAAAGGGGGTCCTTGCCCCACGTTAGTATTGGTAGTTTCCTCAGTTTGATCAACAAGTCAGGAATGGGAACATGAACTGTTAATAGTGAGTGTGTGGATCGCAACCTAACAACTATCCTATTGGTTATATTGACAGAGTGCTATTGATATATTGGGCTTTACTAATGAAGAAAAGGTCTCCATTTACAAGCTCACGGGGGCCGTGATGCATTATGGGAACTTGAAATTTAAGCAGAAGCAGCGTGAGGAGCAAGCAGAGCCAGATGGCACTGAAGGTATCAACTTAGCGATCCACATGATTTCACGTTTGTGTGAAAATCACATTCTTAACTTGTAACCCATGAGTTTTCCTAGGGAAGATAAATTTGTTTTTAAGAATTGAGTTTTAAAGTACCTGTATATCTAAATAATATACCATGGAAGCATGGGCATTAGATAGATGTTTCCGATAATTTCTGAAGTTCTTTAGGGCAAACTACCCATAATCAAGGTCTCGAATTTAGTGATAAAATGGGCAAGAATACTCAAGAAGATACACTAAAATGCTGCACAAAATACTTGAGGCTTAAAAAATGTTTTTAAGGAAGTAGGTTTCTTTGGACCATAATAATATTGTTCTATTCTTTCTTCCTTTTAGTTGCTGACAAGGCAGCCTATCTCCAGAGTCTGAACTCTGCTGACCTGCTCAAAGCCCTCTGCTACCCCAGGGTCAAGGTTGGCAATGAGTATGTCACCAAAGGCCAGACTGTAGAACAGGTAGGTGCATAATTCAAATTCACCGTCAAGGATGAAAGCATTTTAACAGTGCTCTAATAACTTCAAGAGTTATATCTCTGTCTCCCAAGGTGACCAACGCAGTGGGTGCTCTGGCCAAAGCTGTCTACGAGAAGATGTTCCTGTGGATGGTCACCCGCATCAACCAGCAGCTGGACACCAAGCAGCCCAGGCAGTACTTCATCGGGGTCTTGGATATTGCTGGTTTTGAGATTTTTGATGTGAGTTAGTAGCTGGTTGGTGAGATGACTTTATAATAAGGCAATGGAAATATCAATAAGAAGGAATTTGTGAATATTATGGCCTTGTCTTACCACTGTCAAAGTTATGTTAAGACTTAAAAGAGAATAACTGGGCAGCTACTAATTACTTATTGTAGTGCTAATTCCACTTCTATGAGAAACGATGCATGTAATGAGGACTCTTCAATTTGGTATGTGATCCAAAGAGGGTTATGAATTAGTTTAGTGCAGTGGGGTTGGGGGAGGAGGCTCTAAAAATCCCACAAAATGAAGCTGATATAAAAATATCAAAGTATATGCTTTGAATATATGGTGGATAAATCATCAGAAATACTTAGAGATAATAAGAGCCAAGAGAAAGATTAATAATCTAGAGTCAGCATTAATAAATGCAATTAACTTTTAAGGCTCATTAATATGGTATCATGGAATAAAAATTCATATTTGATTAAGAAATACATTTTTCCTGCTTATAGTCTTTAAGAAGTTTATATTTTTCTTTATAATTATATAAGCAAAACTTGGGTATTGCAGAAGATATAGAAAAGCAAGGAAAAAATTCCACATAATTCCGCTATTTATACTTAGTTAATATTAACATTTTGGTGGTTTTTTTAAAACTATAAGCATGTATATTATATTGTATGTAATATTTGGTGTCTTTTTTTTCATTTCACTTTAAGAATAACAAGGGTGGCAATTATTGCTCATTTGACATGTTATCCATGGTGATTTCCATGCAAGATAGACTGCTCCAAGCCAGCTTCTCATGGGTTGAAAGTTGGCTCCTGAATGAGTGAACAGAAAATTATCAACCCTCTGGAAAATGTAAAAAATGGGAATAAAGACAGGATAATTAAGTAGGAAATAAGGAAAATACCTGAGTAAACTTAAGCAAATGCAGAAAAAGAGTATTAATAATGACAGGATTTTCTATAAAATGGTAGCAGAAAAACAGTAGATTCAATATGCTCTCAAACCTTCCATACTTTCCACTTTTTATTTCAAAGGAGTCTCTTCAGTGCAATGACTTTGACATCTATAATCTAAAGGCTACTGGACATTTATTTATTTATGTCTTTTTATGGCAGGCTTTAACAGCTGAAGGACACATATTTTTAAATTGAAAAGTCCTATAATTTAAAAATGCTCAATTTGCTAAACAGGGAAGTAAACACATCTATTTATTTAGTTCAACAGCCTGGAGCAGCTGTGCATCAACTTCACCAATGAGAAACTGCAACAGTTTTTCAACCACCACATGTTCGTGCTGGAGCAGGAGGAGTACAAGAAGGAAGGCATCGAGTGGACGTTCATCGACTTCGGCATGGACCTGGCTGCCTGCATCGAGCTCATAGAGAAGGTATCCTCTTCCATCCACTCAGTAACCACTTCTCATTTATTCTGCTGCTTGTCACTGCAGCTCATATTTACCCATAAGCACTTCGTCTTGCCTTAAATCCAGCCTATGGGCATCTTCTCCATCCTGGAAGAGGAGTGCATGTTCCCCAAGGCAACAGACACCTCCTTTAAGAACAAGCTGTATGAACAGCATATTGGAAAGTCTGCCAACTTCCAGAAGCCCAAGGTTGTCAAAGGGAGAACTGAGGCTCACTTTTCCCTGATTCACTACGCTGGTGTCGTGGACTATAACATCAATGGCTGGCTTGACAAGAACAAGGACCCTCTGAATGAGACTGTGGTTGGGCTGTACCAGAAGTCTTCACTGAAAACTCTGGCTCACCTCTTCTCTGGGGCTCAATCTGCTGAGGCAGGTAATGATCAAAAGTCTAACACTTTCTCTAGATGTTACAAAATGTGATCTTAAATTGAGGCTGGTGATCTCATAGCCCTGGCAGAAGGGTTGCAGCCAAAACCGTGGTCATTATACATTTGTGGGTCACCCGACTACTGACAGGGGCCCTACTGCAAAGGCTCAGAGAGGAACTATCAGGCTCTCAACTAAAGAAAAGCCTCAGCTTCTATGATTCTCTCCTCCTTCTTCCTCTACATCTGGGGGATATTGAATATCTGGGGATATTTAAGGCAACATAGTCTCAATACTAGTTCTAGCAATGATTTTTGAAGTTAGCATTTCCCCCAAATGTCCTAATATTGGGGAATCCATCTCTACATAGTAGGGTGAATACCCTTCACTTCATTTCCCAATGGAGAGAGAATCCCAGAAAAGTGAATGCAAACTTAGTTGAAAAATAACATGCATTCATGCTCAGACAGACCAGTAGGGTGGACAGATGTTCCACTTGATGAGCACAGAAATCAGCAAATTAGCAAGAAGTAGTACTGTCATTTCAAAGCTATATTTGAATTATATCTTTTCTTTTTTTCTCCAGAGGCGGGTCACAAGAAAGGTGGTAAGAAGAAAGGCTCTTCTTTCCAGACCGTGTCTGCCCTTTTCAGAGTAAGGAAGAAATTGTTTTTGACATTCTATAGTACATTTGGGAATTTGTTTTTAAACATACAAGATCTTTGCACAAGTCATTTAGAAAAGGACTGATATTAACTAATGACTCTGCCGATCTAACTTTGGAGAGAAGGGATTTAAATTACTCAGAAATTATTAGCTCACCTTTCATGCTAAGTCAAATAATGAAGGCTGTTTTAGAAGACATTTTGTAAAATGTAATTCTCTCCCACTTATAATCTAGCTGAGTCATGGTAAAGAGCAACGACATGTACTCAGAGAGACTAAAAGACACCAGTTACACTAACGAACTCTAGCAGCTAGTCTGCAATGGGGCTAACATGGGACCCTTGCCTTCATCCAGTCAATTCTCGATTATAACTGGTAGAATTGTTCCCTTATAGATAACTTTATGCCCTGAAGATTGATAGAACTGGAAAAGGTCAACTATATTTATGAGGAAAAAAAAGTCAAAATGTAGTAGAGGCTTGTGTTTCTTTATTGGAGAACTATGGAGTTTAGTAGAAGAAAGAGTGACCGTCTAGCATGGGAAGGCAATGGCCTAGTAAATGTACGTGGGTGGCCAGGGACCAGGGTAGGAAAAAGGATGGTGTTAGTATAAACTGAAAGGAAGTACATGGCAGGCTTCTTTCTGTGTGTAACTCCTGGCAATTCCAGTGCAGGCAGATGTACTGAGAAGGAAATTGTGTCTTAGGAGAAACATTCAAGGTGTTACCTTAAATGAAAATGGCTCATTTACTGGTCCATACTAGTCATTCAACTCAACTATAGATATTGATTTTATAGACATCACCAACCGCTCATAATAATGTCTAAAGTCTGAGATGACAAGGTTTTTCCTGCTTTTATAGGAGAATTTGAACAAGCTGATGACCAACCTCAGGAGTACCCATCCCCATTTTGTGAGATGCATCATCCCCAATGAGACCAAAACTCCTGGTAAGAAGTTCTAAAATAAAGGGCACAAAGCATGATTGCCACACCTCCTTTTTAATAACTCTGCAGTGAAATAAATATATATTTTTTAGGTGCCATGGAGCACGAACTTGTCCTGCACCAGCTGAGGTGTAACGGTGTGCTGGAAGGCATCCGCATCTGCAGAAAAGGATTCCCAAGCAGAATCCTTTATGCAGACTTCAAACAGAGGTCAGATTCTCCTAATTATGGCATATCTTGAAGTTTAATAAGAACAAATTTAATGGAAACAAAACAATTTAGTGAAAAATGTGCCTCTACTTATTATTTTTAATGTAGCAAAAAGGTAAAAGTTTTAAGTTTCAAACATTTTTAAAAGTAGGTATACCACATGTTAAGTGCTGTGCAGAATTTTCATTGGATTTGCCAAGCTCCTGGCTGAGCTCATCGATATACACATTAACTTCAATAATTACAAGAACTACCTTTTTAAGTGCTTAATATGTTTGGATTACCTCATTTAATTCTCCCTAAAACCCAGCAGAGGTAAGTATTATCAAGACCTCATTTTATAGATGAGTAAGCTGAGGCTCAGACAGATTAAGTTATTTGCCCAAAGTCACACAGTTAATAAGTGGCTGTGTTAGGACCTCTTCCATGCATGTATGGCTACAAATAAGTCATTTTCTGTCTCTTCCTTTGGTATAATCTATTGTCATCTTTTTCTTTCACATATTAGTTTCCCAGCGTTTCCCAGAAACAGAGAGGACATGTCACAGTAGTAACAGTCCCTGAGATCCTTTTTCTTCTCCCTAGATAAGCCCACTTTGGGAATCAAAGAAGAGGCAGAGGGGACAAAGGGCTAGGTGGCAACTGCTGGGAGCTAGTCTCTCCCACGTCTGGGTCACGTGGAGTTAACAGATAACTCCAGTGCTCAGGACCCAAAGCACCCCAAACTTTGATTTTAGATGATTAAGACAGTTCCCCATAGCTAAACTATACCAGATTTCTCAATAAAAAGTAGCTTTCTTGGACTCACAATCTTAAAAAAGCAAATACATCTAGCAAGGATAAGAACACATTACATTTTATTGGTTATCTACACCTTAGTGTGAACAAGATTATAGAGCCCTTTCCTGAGAATGGGGTCTGATGGGGCAAAAAGGAAAGTTGCAACCATCAGGGAAGGTAAAACAGTAAAAGTTGACAGCCAATAGTTTGACAATCCATGTAAACAATGTCCTCCCTGTGAACAAAGAATAATACTTTTTTTAAAAACTTCATTTTTTAAATGGATCATTTAATGTTCAGCTACTATTTGTGTCATTGGTAAACCAAGTTTCTAAAAGCTGTATTTACTTTAACAGATACAAGGTATTAAATGCAAGTGCTATCCCAGAGGGACAATTCATCGATAGCAAGAAGGCTTCTGAGAAGCTCCTTGGGTCCATCGACATTGACCACACCCAGTATAAATTTGGTCACACCAAGGTAATATTCTCTAAATCTGACCTGAGGCTATTCCCGTCCCTTTGGACTTTATGTAAAATTTCTGATCTACAACTCTGCCCATGCACAGGTATTTTTCAAAGCTGGTCTTCTGGGGCTCCTAGAGGAGATGAGAGATGAGAAGCTGGCCCAGCTGATGACCCGAACACAGGCCAGGTGCAGAGGGTACTTGGCAAGAGTGGAGTACCAGAGGATGGTGGAGAGAAGGTATAAAAACATTATTTATTCACATCTTCCTTCTTCAAAAACACATTTGAGGTAGCTTACATTTAAGACTCAGCTATGGTAAGGACATAAAAGTAAGAAGGAATGAATGAGAGTCTTATAATAAAGTGGCGATATACATGTACCAGAAAACTTAAGGAAGGGATCATCACCATGGAATACATTCTGAGCATATGGGTAAAAAAATTGAGAAGCATAAAGCATGAATGGTTCTCATCTAACAAGAGAAAATACTACAGCGAGTAAGCAGAGACAAACTTTTGCCCTAGCACTTGGTTCTAATATGAATTTATTGGATAGGTCATTACATAAGGGACACTGAACTGCATAATGAACAGTATATTCAAGAGTGGTTTTACACAGGATATAGAAATAACTTCTTCCATTTGATCATTTCTGTTATCAAACCATCATGATTTAAAATATTAAGGGCATTTATCCGTGAAAGATTTTTTGCAGCAAGTTAATACAGTGTCACGAAGGCATGTAGCTTTTGGATGATCTAATTTGAAGCAGGGACAGTGTTTGAAAACTACAGAAACAGATGTCTCAAATTGCAGGATGCATATGACAAGGACCATTTCTCCACAGTGAGAAATGTATTTTACATTGCCACCTGTATATCCACACAAACATGTATGTGTATGTAAATATATAAATAATTTACATGAAACAAATTTTACCACTTGTAGTTGTGCTAACATCTTTATT